GAAAGAAAAAGAAAGTATGTATCAATTATTGTAGTTGTTCGAAGCAGGATATGAAAGAAATTTCTACCTTAAGACTGTGAAGTATGAAAAATTATTAGTTTTTCAATGCTAATTCATAGACAAACGAGAAAGTTCTATTCAGATTAATCAATGAGTTAGTTTAGTCTTATCCGTTCAACATCAATACTTCATTTTTCTTCACTTGAAAACTAGATTCATCTACGGAATAGAAGACTCTTCCTGATAAATTGATTTCTTACAAAATCGGAAGTTTGATTAGTAGTATATTCACGTCAAAAGATGCCTAGTTTTAAGTCTCTTCCCAGACCGTCAAAATCGTTTTGATCGTTTGAAAAACTCTTAGCGAAAAATTATGCAAATAAATGAGACGCAATCGAAGACTCGGAGTCTTCTATCGCATGGACAAGTGTATTATGCTTTCGACAATAATCATCGAAGACATAAGATCAGTTAACGCAAAATTCTTTTCTTTATAATATTGAAGAAAAATATTCATCATCGAATAATCATTATAAAGACATAACTATGATATATTGTTTACAATATTTCATGTCAGTCCAACACACAACCGCATCGATACGTTTGGCGGAGTAATAACTTAACATTACCATATGAATAAAATGTCGAGCTATTATCATTATGTTTTGAAAGCATAAAAATAACCGAAAAAAAAAAACAAATTATTTTCATATAGAATATGCTCTTGAATAGCACCAAAATCTAACTTTTCTCTAATAACTGATGCAACTGAAACTAAGTCTATTATTCAAAGTAACTTATTATTCTAGGCTATGTTTAATGGTCGTAGTACATTTAGCATTTAGATAATGCATGATCATTTTGAAAAATTCAATAATATACATAATATTGGCTTTGATTTTTGTTCGATACTGTTACGATACAATTAAAAAAGATTCCTTCTGCTAAAGAAAACAAAATGAATCATTGAAGTCTATGATTTCAAGCACACATAGAGATATATTTTTTGAAAATTAACCAAAAACTCATTATTATCTACAGATCGGAAATATTTTCTTTGCACGTTATTTCATTAAGTTTTAAATGAATAAAGCAAAAAAATACTCTTCTTTAGACTTTTAATGACAAAGCTTTTTGAAATACACCAATAAATCTCTTTATTCGCTCTAGGAAATTTTATAGAAACCATGAACGAATAGCTGCTTTCACGACGAAACCCATCAAGAATTCTTATTGTTCTTGTGGTATGCTGAAAGCTTCAGCTCAAATGAATAATTTCTTCTTAAGATGTCCCATGCATAAAAAACTACACTATTTTTAGAACTTTTGTGTGACAGTAATGTGTGTTTGCAAACGTGTTATCTTCGAAGGAAAACATCCATTTGAACTGAAACTTTCAGGACAAAAGTCCTTGTTACAGCTTTTGTCGTAATATGCTACAACACGCTGAAAGTTCAGTAAAATCCCCATAACTCGAGAAGAAAAACCTCATGATATAAACTCTTCCAGGATTTTTATTTATACTATGAATACTACATATGAACAAAACAGGAGCTCAATCGCAGTTTTTTCACTGGATGGATTTCCTCATCAGTCAAATCCATTGCAAGAATTGCCTTATCTCCATACCTATGAAGTTTTATGATAAAACCGAGACAAAGATGAATTTTTGACAAATATAATAATTCGAATAGTAACTATCTGGTTGTGTTCAAGTTTCCATGCAGAAATCAATTCATTTACATTTTATTTATAAGAGAAGTATAAGCAAACGAAAACTCTTATAGTAGATATATGTGATATTACAAAAGAATATTTGTATGAACATTAAAATGCTTATTTACACAGTATTATATGATATTGCTGAACATTTCTATTGAAAAGGAAGCGTATAGAGTGCAACATAACTCATAATATAACTTTCGTTTATGTGAAAAAATAAGTAATAGGCAATTCGTGATAACCATCGAATAAATCAGAACTGAATACAGGATAAGTGTTCCTATCCTGCTATGTCCTGTTGCCTGACTTCATTATGGATGGTGAGAGAGAGAACATCAATTGTAGCTTCGTCCTCCATTGCAAGACAGCGAAAGCTCTCGTTTTGATTTTCCATCATCAAGGTGCACATTAGTTATTAGTTATCTTAAAGCTAATTAGGTTGCTATCATTTTCAAATAAACTATTAGTTCGTCGATAATGACTAATACTATAAAAACATCCTGATTTATTATTTTAATGGTATCCTCGTCACCGGAAAGAAATATAAAAGAAAAATATGAACTTGTGATGTTTTATCATTATTGTCTTAACATATATAGGGAACACTATTAATAAAAATAAATAGAACAATGGAAAAGTACTTGGTAACAGAGATGATACAAAGTAAACGGGTGTATACAAAAAAAAACATGAGCACAGGGATAACATTATATACTAGTCATATCCAGAGCCCAAGTGTGGTATAAATACATGGTCAGTTACTTTCCGTGATCAATCGTGTGCTATGACGACTGATATTCAACATATTTGTTTTGTTTTTCTATCTTCAGCACGGCCGACGCGAAGAAATCGAAGCGAAAATCGATCTAAAATCGGAGAAAATTGAAACAGCAAAATTTCTCAGAGTAACAAGGGTGATCTACATCCTCTCGATCATGTCATCTCTGATTTTCAGTCATCGCAATCGCCGTTTGAAATTGGTGTTTTTTTTTTTATGTTTCGAAAAAAACGATACAAATCAAATTCTGTCGTCAATTTTCCTCAAATTTAAGACAAAAAAAAACATTGCGCCAGCTGTCCGGGCGATAAATCAACATACATTATTTCGTGCATCACAAATAAAAAAGAAAGAGACGCCTTCAAATCGATTTATTAAGAATACAGCTGCCTATTATATTCTATCTTACTAATATCTTTGAGACTTGCAGCTGTATTCTGTTAAAAGAAAAGAACAGAGTGAAGAACCTGTTCTAAAGACATGAAAAGAAAAGAAAAAACATATTCTATTTAGAGGAAGTAATATGGACTTATTTCAAAATATTCCTGTATGATACAATATGCATGTGTGTATGACAGTTATTTAACACATAGAGAAAATATATTGGATTTATTTGATTGTTTTTCTTTGTAATAAAAACAAAAAACTATCTTTTTTGTATAACTGTAAGTAAAAGATTGGTTTGACAAAATGAATTTGCAAGAGGCAAAATATGTATCCATGTTTGTTTTATTTGCATCCGATTTAATCATGATATTTATTGCTACGTGTTTACAACGGTTTTTACGTCATCGTAATGGAAAATTTCTTTCCATATCTCAACATATCATTTCATGTCTAACAAGTGGTATATTTTTAGGTAGATTAATCATAATTTTTCTTGGTTTTGTTATTTTGTCATATTGTTTATTACTAATTAGGTACTCTTTTAATGATAATTGTTCCAAATTCTCTTGAGCTTGTTGCTAATCAATGGCAAATTATTAATATGGGTTATTTATTGATTGGTCTTGGTTTTTTTCTTATATGTATTATTCAAGAACTAACAAGTCTGTATGAATTATATCTATCAAATAAACAACTGAAAATTGAACATCAACAATTAGTGAATTCGTCAACGACATCTCATAATGATAATCAATTAGCACGTCTTGTTACACTTGTTTTTGCTCTTAGTACTCATAATTTTTTTGGTATGTAATCGAATCTTTTTCTTTTCTTTTTCATAAATACATATGATTTCATTATAGATGGGATTCTCATTGGTGGACAAACAAAAGACATAACAACATTATGGATTTTATTAGCTGCTATCTGTTTTCATATGTCTTTACTTGCATTTTCGGTAACACTTCGTTTACTAATTGATAATGAAAATTATATTCGAGTATTTTG